GATTTTTAGATCTCATATACGTACTTTGTGGCGCTTCTGTTCATGTTTCCATACAAAATTTGACATTGACATTCCGAACTCTTAAACTATTCGAATTCGATAATGGTTCGTGCTAGGGGTACTGATTGTTTTAAAGCAGTCAATATGTGCGTCTCTAGCGACGAGCGTATGTATTTTTTCGGCTCTTCTGCTCAATTAACAGGGTATCTACATAACTATATGCGTATTACAAAGCAAAAACTAAAAAAAAACTTCAAAAACTAAAAATAATTTAGCTTTCGGTGATTATTCTGAAAGACAAGTCACTTTAAGCCAAATCACTCAACGATTTCACATAAGTACCTACGTAAAAATGTCTTATTAATTAAAAAACTCGCCGTTTTCATGGCCACAAGCCTGGTCGTATCAGCGCAGTCCGTTTTGTAACATTTAGCAGTATACAAAATAAAACTGTAGCAAGGATGCATCTGTTTGATTACATCATACAGGTAAAATATACTTAATGTCTTTTAGTCATATTATTGTACAATGTACCTATGTTGCGACATTTTCTTTGGAATGGCCCGTAATCATATGGATGGATATGATGTCATTCTTCATTTAAATAGAGGTTGATCAGTAAAATATCAAAATATATATATATCCTAAAAAAAATTAATAAAAAATCACTGCAGTGGTGCAGTAATGTGTTACATGTTATAAGTTAAGAGAGATGAAAACATAATCATTGTTCAAACACAAGCGACCAATAAGGGCTGGCCGCGGCCGCAGGCCCTCTCTGTCTCTCTGTGAGAGACATTTGAGAAATAGGTAGGTATTTGAAAAAACTATTGCTGTCACCAGTGCCGTCTTTGACCTATTGGAGGCCCTGGGCATATTAGGATAATTGGGTCCCTATGACTTCCGTTTAGTGATTTAACAGGAACTAGAGATTTTGTATTTGATCTGAGGGGGCCCCCTATCGATCGCGGGGCCCTGGTCACTTGCCCAAAGTGCCCACTGGGAAAGACGGGTCTGGCTGTCACGCATTGGCAAATACCGTGCGATAGGGACAACAGTAGCTAACGCTAAAAATTGCATATAAAATTTGTAAATTCGAGGTATGGCTCTCGATGATTTCCCCCTCGAAAATTACATATATGTAAAAGAAGTTTACCTACTTTTAGAATAGTAAATAAATAAATATAAATATTTCCAACACTCACACCAATTAGCCTAGCCCCAAAGTAAGCACTGTAAGGCTTGTGTTATGGGATGCTAAGGTAACGGATAGAATACATATACTGTACATATATAAGTATATTTATATAGAAATACATATTAAACATCCATGACTGGAGTACAAATGCTATTATTCATCACACAAACATCTGCCCCCACCGGGATTCGAACCCGGTACCTCTCGAGTCGGCGACACCATGAAACCCAGCGTACAAACCACTCGGCCACGGGGGTCGTCAAATAATATAGTAAGTAGTTATACTAGGCCTCTATGTTTTGCTTTATTTGTAAATGCATGAATAGCCACACCAGACGTCTTTAATGGTGATAAAAATTTGTTAAAAAAACATTTTTGGCATTTTTAAATGCTTCTAGTTGCTTTAAAACAATTTAACGAAAAAAGCAAGACATGGATTTTATTGAGTGATCAAAATCAAGGAGGAAACAGTCCAGAACGTATGTATGGAAAACATTGCCCGCCTCCCCTATTAAATGGTTTTTTTATAGATAGGTCTGACAAATGATTCCACCCCACCTGATGTTAAGTGATGGTGAAGTCCAGACGTGAAGATAGCTGGTACAGCAGTTCTATCTGCCACACCAGCCATCCTCACCTTGCCGCCTTGGCATGTTGCTTCTTCACGCCTCTTTTAAAGGATTCCAGGTTGTAAGAAGGAGGGAACACGTATCCGCGGAAGACCCTTAAAGGGAAGCACCAACGTGTATAGACCTCTGCGTCACTCCCCCCCTTCGGGGACGATCGCTTCCGATGTAGCCTTAGAGGCCTTCCCGGCCAGAGGCAGCCCCTACGTGTGTTTTTTTATCATTACGAGTCTGACATAACCTTGCAGCCGGCTATAGGCTATCCATGAGGATTTCTCACCCGCTCTCCAGCCTGGGAGGAAACAAAAAAAATGTATAGATCTCAATTAGCGTCAAAACGTACCAAGAGCAGGTATAGTCGGTTCGGCAGTATTTGTCGAACAACAAAGCTGAATGCCGAAAATTCATCAACACATATAAGAAACAAACAAACAAACAAAATGATTTTAATTGACACAGTAGGCTTAAAAAAGGTAGGTTCATTTTCAATTTACATGCAATTATTTAAATGAATATCTATAAGTAACAATAGAAAATAAAATGTATTACAAAAAATAAACAAAAAAGAGGTAAATAAAGCAAACTTGAAAGTGCCTGCCTGCGCCAAAAAGGATCAAAGTTCAGCATTGTGTCAGCTCAAAGAGCTGACGCTGGTTTTCAACTAGACCCTGGACTATAAACTAAACCCCAGCCCCCAATGTATGTCCAAAACACGTTTCCTCGTCACAAATTAAATAAAAATAAAATACATGCGATTGATATAGAAGAAAATTAAAAGTATACATACATACTACTACATATTCGATTTTATCGCTCGTCGGTATCGATTAATGCCGGCCCGATTATGTGTGTAGCTTCCCTAACAGACAAGTTATAGCTATAGATTTAACTGTTTCACGATTGTCTCTTTGAATTAAGTACCTATCTCTATGTTTTTAATATACGTTTATTTTTTTATATTTCGCACAGCGTCACTTACTATGTAAGAAAGAAGACATACAATAACTTTGTTTATCATTTACAGAGTAGGTACCTACCTAGTTAGTTATATTTTTATTACACCACAACGGAAGACATGAATTCGCGTTTCATTAATGCTAAAAGTACTTTAATCTTGGATACAGAGCACAGACAATAAGTAATGGAGTCAAGGCCTGCCCCTTAAAAGATTAGTCTATGCTTAAAAGTCTGTGGCCTTACCATCACCTTTGAGTGGCAAAGAGCGCAACACACACCGTGAAAACTATTAATTTTGTGGCTTTTTACCACGTACCTACCAACTTAGTTACTTTTTTTGACTAAATAAAAAATTATAGCAGAAGGAAGGAAGGAATTGTGTTATCCAGAATGTTTACTCAGTATCTGTTGATAAATTTGAGATTTTTAAGTTACATAATTACCATACAAGTTTTATTTAATCTAAAACACAGTCTTTATTTTTAAATACGCCCGCCTTTTTTCTTTGTGGCAGGCAGTGTCAAACAGCTGTCAAATCAAACTGCTGCGGCATTCAATGACGCCAACATGGTAATAAAAATAACTATGGATACGTTCAGAAATGTTAATATTTTTTTAAATAACAGTTATATTATCAACGACTACTACTATTAAATTATTGATACTTTTCTCGTTATCATAAAAGCAAAATGATTTTTGTTGCCATGTACTGGTTGAATTAATTAAATTAAGTTATGATGTCGATTGTGGCATCTGGCTGGACGGTTTCTCTGAATTTAAAATTAAATTTAACTTTTGTTTCACCATATCATTCTGAATTGAGAATCTGACGTGATTCTCTAAATCGAAACTTAAATTTTACAACAGTGTATCCTTCACATTCTCTATGCAGAATGAAAAGAAAAGACTGATGTTAAATGTTATTTTAGATTTAGAGAATCGTGCCAAAATTGACACCTAAAGATACCGAAATAAATAAATTGACCACACGAAAAAATATTTTCTTAAAGGATTTGTGTTTAGTATTTTAAGAGCTTAACAAATGTTCAATTTAATAACTGGAGGCTATTAAAGTAGCTTTCTTCCTTATTCCTTACTTACCCGATTTATATATTACTACTTGAGTTGTTTTTTTTTCTTTTCAGTTTTAATTTAAGGTAATTTTTGAAGTCAGGTTTTTGAGATTTATAAATTCACCTTTTTTAACTTTAAACTATGCACGGGACCATGTACTAAACAAAAATTGTGTGTCCAGGTTTAATACGCAAAACACCATTCTAAAATAATTTTATACTTAACGAAATTATGTAGAACATAATTTTGCCAGACGTAACTATGCCTAATAGAATTCAGCCGTCTGAAAAGTATGCCACTGTGTTCTGGACATATAAGGGACATAGGTAGGTGTGTAAATTCGGTCAAACAAGGATTAAATTAAAAGAATCTATGTTTTACAAATATTTTTTCAATGAAGATTGAGGCACTTGCCATGCCGCTGACGTTGAACGAAAAGTGAGTAGAACTAGAAACTAGAAATGGGCAGATGATCAGCGGGAAGTGTGTAGCTCCGGTAGTTTTATTGATGGGCTATTAGCGAGTGTGTGAGTATAAAGAGTGATAACTCGCGCAACTCGCTCGTGGAGGCAGGTGCGGTCGCAGCCTGAAATTTTGGAGGGGGTCACTCACTACACTAATAAAAAATAGGTATCTGGAATAAAATAAACATTATTCCACAAGACACTTTTTGACACAAGATTTCCCCCCTTCGGACCCCGCCTGCGTGGAGGCAGTCCTGAGTAAAAATTCACGCGCGTGAGTTATTTCAACCAAGCAAGCATCTTTAAGCCAGTGTTATCTTTACAGCTGCAGCGGCAGTGTGAACACTCAGCGATCAATTATTGATACAGGAATCTCTTTTGTTTACACGGAATGTATATTATCTATTAAACGTTTCATGGGTCAAAAAATAGAAGGGTTCTTAAAAGAAAGGCTCTTCGAAATGGTATATAGTGCCTTTGCACTTCACTTGACACGGCTTTTTATCATAGCGGGGGAACTGATGCGCCCTCAAATGAAATAAGTACAATAACAAACATTATCATTTCTAAAATAACGTTGCTGTTTTTGTGATCAAAATAACTCTGAATAACACTAAAGTCATTTTATTGGTTCCTGAACGCATGTGTAATTTCTATTCAGTTGGCGGCACTTCAGTATTGCTCAACGTTACGCTACGGACGTGCGAGCGAGTGCGTTTGTCATCCGATTAATTTTAGAGATAAAAGTTTGTTCCCAAACTTGAATGAGAACGGTTGTTAAAATTATCAGAAAGTGCTATAATTTCTGTTCTGCTGCAAATATCGTAAGTAGTGAACGATCAAGTGCTTTGTGAAATTTGTGTGGCATACAGTGGTGCAAGTTGTGAAACAAAATAAATAATGAATAACAGCACGAGAGTTCCCAAAACTACGCCAATCACTGAAGATTACGATATCTCCAATACAGTCCTTGGCCTTGGAATCAATGGAAAGGTAAGTTGAGATCAGGACTCTGTTTAAAAACTTCGTTTACCGAAGTAAAAATGTTTCGTACATACGCGCTTGTTTACACTTACGTCACTTTTAATATTAGCATCTTCGTTTACGATTTTTCACGTTGTTTCCTCGTTTGGACAATGACATTACATTCGACTCTTCGAATCGGTAATTAGTCACTATTATATAATTAGCATTTCGGAAACCCACAATTAATACCGACTGGCTACTTATCTTTATAAAGTAGTATAAATAAAGCTTTTGGTTCGAATATGTTCTGTTAGTTCAAGCCGATAAATATTTAGGCGTAGTTCATAACAATTCAAACATCTCAATTGAAAACTTAAAACATAAAAAATACATAAAACAAACATTTTCTATTCATTGCGACGAATTTGGAACTTCTTACGAAATATTTGGTAACTTCCGTACTAAGAAAAGATAAGAAGACTATCCACTCATAGATAATAATGAGAATAAAAATAAAAATATGAGTACTTACTAAAAACTTTGCTCACTCTGCTCATGAAAATTGATATTGTTATGAGTTTTATTATCATTATGACAAAATACACTAGCAAAACATTGAACAACTATAATCTTTTATATATTTTAAATCAAGAAAAACAGTTATATCTAAACCCAATAAAATCTATCGATAATCTTATTGGATAGTAGCCAAACAGCTGCCTTGCATACAAATTATTTACCCTGAATATATTTTATTCATGACCTTTTGGGTGAAAATAGCAAAATGTTAAGGGTTATACTGTGCAGACAGCCACAGCACAAGTACTCCAAAATAGTCTATATTTTTTCAGCTTACTCTGAGCTTTATGTTGCTAGTTAGAAGATTCTTACCCATTAAAAAAGATGGTGTGACTTTATGAAAAGAAGATGCATGTGAAACTTTAAAAATTATTCATAAAAAGTCAATATACCACTGAACTATCAAAGCTTGTTGAAAAGGTTTGAATTTTTTAATAACAGGTAAAAATGTAATGCGATCCGCTAAAGATGAAAGGAAAAGTAATAAAGTTTCATTTTAAAAGAGTTAGATTTTTTAGTCAGCAACACATCAAGTGTTGCTGACTAAAAGCTCCACACTATTTTTAATACATTGTTATTATATTGTTATGTTTTAAAACTTGTTTTACACAATCTAAAACAATTTGTTGTAGTAATGTTGGTATACACGCCGGCAAATATCTTGAGCAATGACCATTGAAAGACCATGACAAGGAAGCCTGCTCTGTACTAAGTAGCAATTTTACATACATAAAATCTACATACTAGCGCAGTGCTAGTTTATTAGTCTGTGATTTCGCTCAAGACGTTTGGTCTAAGTAGTGGACCAATAACCAATATCCACCCATACATAAGATAACAGAGACAGGTGATTATTAACAACAAAGTTTCACCTGGAATCCGGATCAAATCAAGGGTAGTGCATTTGGTTCGGGTTGATAATGCACATTTTTCTGCCCCTATTTTACAAATAAACTTGTTACCCTTGTTTACCAACAGCTCAGGTGGGATACTAAGCATTTACAAAATACCAACTTTTGTGCAACATACTGAATTTACTATAGTTTTTTTATACGCTCCAGTGCTTGTGAAAAGGCCTATATTGTTTTTGTTAATTTCTTTCACATGAGATGTTTTGTGACTGTGTGCTGATTTCATACCATTGAATTCCATTCAGGTTACAACATGTATTATGAGCTTTAGTAATAATATTATTGAAGAAAGTTTAAATTGTGTGGGAAAATTCTCGAATAACACTCGATTTTAAAATGAAGCAATGCTTTGATTATAATTTTTTTGACTGTAAATTTTCCAAAGTAACCATCAAAACTAAATCTAATTAAACTAAAGAAAATTTTACTAGAAAAAATTCCACACAGTTCCATCTTCTGCCTGGACATTTTCTAGTAAAATTAGGCCACAAGGATTTTTCTCTAGTAAAAAAATCTTTATATTTTATATTCATCTCGCAGTTAGATGCTTATAAATACAAATATAATAAACTAATTAAACTGCTCATAATATTTCCATTAGGAAATATTTTCTTAGTTTACTTAACTGTAAAAACTAATAACGCAACAGCTAATTTAAATCTAATAACGTCAAATTGCCATTGTTTAATTTGTTTTAAAATACAAGGAAAGACCAAATTGCTTCACAGCTGATTTGTTTTGTACACTGAGAACATTCATTAATTAGATATATTGACAGTGAGACAGTGACTCATGCAATCATTGTTTATTACATGCTTAACATGCTTTACTGTCTGACCGTTTACCTTGAGTGGCAGATTTTGACTAGACATTCCCTCATGACGCAATTTTCTCAGTATAAATCAATATCATTGATTTATCAACTTAATGATCTCAATATACTGTACAACCATGATCTTGTGGTGCATGGCCAGTCTGTACTAATTTTAGGTAGGTATAAATAAGCCTCTTTTATATACAGATATAGGTAATACATTAAATGTTAGTAAATAAAAATATATATAACCATAGTCGAAACCTGATATAACAACATTGAAGGGACCATATATCTTCATAATACCGTGGGGCATTTCTCCAAAATGTCTCCCCCCCTAGGGCTGTACCCTGTGTGGCTAGTGCTTCAATGGTGTTCAATTCAGTATATAGTATAGTGTATCAATTTACACTGACACTGGTTTTCAGCTCATTTTTTTTTTAATCTTGAACCTGCACCCACCGCTGTCTGGGCAGATGCACTAACAAATCCCCTACCGCGACTTTAATGGCTGTGGTGGTACCATCCGCCTTTTAACTTAAACAGTGTCCTAGGCTCGTATTATTAGATTGTTCTCAGTGTCCAGAGCAATAAAGAGTATCTCAAGATCTGCAAAAACCAAATTATCATACAAATTGACTTTTTAACGAAGAAGATAATCAAAGCGACCTTTATTTTAGAGAGATCTTCAAACAGTAAACTTGAAAATTAATTATTACCAGGTGACGTAATATGATAAGCGGTAATGTCGCCACGCTTTGCTAATGTGGTGATATGATAGTGACTCGTGAGTCATGCAGTCGAGTCAAGGGTCACTTCCACAATCTCGACACGAGTGACTCGGTTGTGGAATCTTGACGCTCTCACACTGCTTGTTTCGTTGTTGTCGGGATTTTGGGGAATGACTTCTGTAAAGTGAGGATGGACAGTATGGCAGGTAGAACTGCTGTACCAGCTGTCTTCACGTCTGGACTTCACCGTCACTTAACATTAGGTGGGGGAGTCATTTGTCGGACCTATCTATAAAAAAATGATTGAGGTAGGTGCAGCCCCCGTCTTATTGTCACACGTGATTTTCTCCGCAAATTTCTTTATTTGTCGGTAGATCGGATAATAGTTACGTAGTTCCTGACCATCTGGCAACCCTAATTCTCTACCACTCCCAGTTTTGCCGTATAAATAGGTGGAATGTACAAATAAGTTGATTATAAGAGGAATGTTGAGAGTTTTTTTAAAGTAGGTAATTCTGCAGTATTCTACTTTAGAAAAACCAGTATTGTGAAATCAATGATTCATCGTGATATTATAATGGTATCAGTAAACTCGATAACCAATGTAATTGGTGACGTATGTGTCAGATAGGCCAGCCTAGTAATGACTTAGGGTGTGACGTATGCACACCTCCTTTATCTTGAATTCGCAGAAGTCGTGTGATCATTTATTAGGAAAAATAAGTATTGTAATGGCCTGCGCAGACTAGGAACAGAAACGTGAAAAAATGCCTTGAGGTCCAGTCACGGACTGACTCAACGCACACGGTATGGGAACGTATAACAATATTGTGAAAACTGTACCCTTAGGACGACCCAATATTGAATTCGTAACGTTTGCGAGTACGAAATGTCATTGTCAAATGTGTACTGTTTTTTAGTTCTCGTTACGTCCGTTATGGCGCTGCTTTTCAAGTTTCCATAAAAAATTTGACAATGACATACCGGATTTTCATTGTCAAATGTGTACTGATTTTTAGTTCTCGTTACATCCGTTATGGCGCTGCTGTTCAAGTTTCCATACAACATTTGACAATGCCATTCCGGACTCGCAAGCTATTCGAATTCGATAATGGTTCGTGCTAAGGGTACTGTTCACAAAGACAAAAGAAGTATTTACTTTCGACTTCGTATTTGCTTTGGTGGCCGCACTCGCGTGTTCTCTGGGTTCCATCTGCCTTTTGTTCTTTAATCTGATATTCTCGCTATCTCAAGGAAACTATTCGCCGATTCATTAATGAATAATACTAATACTACCGTTTTATCAGTTCAGTACTCATTTATTTGAATGAATATGCCCATTATCTACAGATACAGGAACTGTCACGCGGGAAAACCTTATTTACTGAGCTCACCCTGGGGATTTACCGGTTTCATGCTTTCGCTTGTACAATTACAATGGGTAATTTGGCTGCCTACGCTTTACGAAGCTATTACACAAAATATATGCGATTAACTAAGAATAGGACCGACTGGGCGCCATATTGTGATGTCATAAGCTGTCAATTCAAACCAAATAGGTAGAGTGAGCAAAAAAAGTTTTTATTTAATAAAACTTATTTACGAACATTAAGTGAGAAAAACCATCAGATTTTTCAATAACATTTATTTACTAAGATTGAGAAAAAAGAACCCCCGATTTTTAATAATATTTATTTATTAAGACTGTGAGAAAAAACATTAATCAGAATCTAGCTCATCTATTCCGCTCATCTCTGCATTACTCGGAGTAGTTATGAATAATCATGCACTATTACTAGGTCACATACGAACATGCATCCTTTATGTAAACGAAAGTTTGAAATCGAGTTTTTGAACACAACTTAAAAGTGACATTTGGTTGACGATTTAGGTTATCAGCAATTCTTGGCCAAACCTCAATAAATGAAAAAAAAAATCAACCGATATTAATTATCAATATTTGTTATTGTTTGTTTACAAATGTTTGGTTTT